TGCGCCCCCTTAATTTTTCTAACAATTACAACATTATAAAAATTTAATGCGACAGTTAAGCTTGTCTTTCAACACAAAAATCGCGGATCTCAGTTCCTTTTCAATCACTAAGCGAGATCGATACTTTGTTTTTATGACAGCTACTGTAGAAAAACTAGTTTTTGACACCTATTAACTTTTTTGGTTTGTAATAGAAAATGATATTTTGGAAACAGCTGCATGTACCCCATGCAACAATCTTGCGCCCCCCTGGAGTGGGGGTGCCCCACAAGTTGGAAACCACTGCCATACTGATATAGTTTCCGTTATTGGTCTTAATGTTGAAAGAAATGCTCATGTTTTACCATGACGTCGGCAGGTGAGATGCAAGGGGTTGAACTTGCATTTCCACATCTTGAAGAAAAATACACCGAAAATTCACAAAAAATACAGCGAAAATCCTTTTTGTGTGTTGATGAAAATCAATTTCGCAGAGAAGAAATGAAATTCTAAGTATGTGATGGATATAGACTCTTCTACATTTTGAAATGTAACATTCAAATAATATAGCATTTAACATAAATAGGAAATAGAAGATAATGTCGAATTTTAGCAAGAAATCGGCTGGGCAATTGGTAGTATTGTATCCAAATTTTCTAAATTCGTTTGGCTTGTTATAACAATTCCCGACTCTTCCTACACAAATATCGAAGCTTTTTACCACTGGAAGTCTCATAGGACCAAGTAAACTTTACTCTTTTTAGCATGAGAATGAACTGAAATGAATTAATTTTTCGGAAGTTAAATGCATTTATTTGAAAAAAGTAAACTTCTGAACCTATACGCCTGCTTCAATAAAATGTAGTTTTTTCCAAAACTGCTTATAAAATCATTAATAATTCCCGAAACATGGACACCTAGTTATTTAGCGTTTCTTACTTAATAATTAAAAGTACAGAAAACACTAATGTAAATAATCAAGTTGTTATACAAAAACGAACAAAAGACAATCAATAAGTTAAAAGCACCCAAGAAACACAAATACGTACAAGAGCAATGTAGATGAATAATTATAGTTACAGTAATCTAATTGCACAATTATCAGAACTTTGGTGATTAAAGAATTACTTCTGTCTCTTAAAACTAAATACGGCTAAATTCGTTGCTGTGCTTTTAATAGAAAGCAGTCTAATGAGAACTAAATATTTCGTATTTGATACCTGTGACATCTTGGGGGTACATATCGTTGTTGCTCATGTCACCTTTTTTAGCTTAGTGGTAGAGTATTGGTGGGTAACACCTGGTGCCTGGGTTCGATTCCCGGCGAAGGAGTAACAGATGCAACAAATTTTTCCATTAATTTCGAGTAATATGTAGACGATAGAAAGTTAATTTCAGTTTAATGTTTATTATGAAATCTCTCCGAGAATATTATCGTACATATAAAAGGGTGTGAAGAAATGCTGATACGTCACTGCGATGTTCAAAATTCACTATTAGATGTTATGTTGTGTCCTAAAAGATGTGTTACATATTGAAAACCGAAACAGATTTTCTCGAAAATGGTGCATTTCATCCGACCCCAAGTAATAGATGTTAAATCATTCCAAATTAGTGTTAGTTTATTCTCCCGAGATGAATAAGAGCAATTTTCAGTCATCCTGCACATACAAAGATTGTAAGAAATACTCAGTATCCTGGCATATCACAATTCCATTCCAGGAATAAAGATCGTAGGTTTGATTGTAAGAAGTAATTTCTTATATTCGCTAAAATTTACGGACTAATTAAGCAGAAAAGTGATAAGTGGATGTCTTAACGAATTTTCTTTTGTTCTAGTTCGACTGCCGCAGAACGTAAGCGCAGATGTCTACGAGAATTACCTGCAGTCCGAAGTGCCGATTTCGACAGCTGCACCGGGTCTCGAAAGTGGTGAAACCACTCACACCCGCAAGGAAATCACCCCTGCCACCAGTCCCACCAGTAACACGCAGGTGAGATTTATGGCAGTCATTTGCAGCAACTTTTATTACCCTTAATCTGACCGAAATTCGGTAGTCGAAACCGAGGCGGAAATCTGCTTCGACCGAGAATCACTTGTTTTCATTTCCTTTTGATAACGTTATAAGTCAAGTTTTCTATCTTAAAGTAGTCCGGCCGAATTTTCATTTACGGTGAAATGCAATAAATTTTATTTTATTAATCGATACCCTCAACGCTGAAAAAAAAGCCATTTAACGGAGTTAAAATTTACATAATCTTAGTGATGAGCCAAACAAAACTTCTAGTCTTGGTCTTTACCTTACTGCAGTAGTTTCCAACCTTTTTGTACCTGGGCCCCCCTTTAAAAAAAAAAAAATATTGCGCCCCCTTAATTTTTCTAACAATCTAATTTCATAAATACTCTACTGATATTATAATTTATTTAATGGGCTACAAA